TTGCAGCAATTGTCGTTGACAGCGAACGTATGCGCGGGAACTGGCAAGCAAATTACACACCACTTCACATTGTTTCTGCGTGGAAAAGGAAGAAAATTATATACATTTGTACATATATATACATACTGGTGAGTGCGTATTCGCCATTCGGGCCCTCCCCTTCAACCCTCCGCTTATTTCATATTCTTTGCAGCGCTCCTCGCTCTCACCTATGTTAACTCTCCACCGCGTTGACATGTTGTTGTTGCGGTTCCGAAAGTTGTCACACTTCAATTGTTCTGTTCCTGTTCCAGTTTCACAGGTTAAATGAGGCATGAAATAGTTCTATGCTGATACAGTTAGTTTCGGGTTAATTAATTGGCGTGCAACCGAAATGTCATTACAAGGCAAATATTTTAATGCTCTCACGTTTAAGCTTATGGTGGGAAATCCAATCGGATGATCTGTGATTTAGATTTATTCTTAAGCAATTTTTAGTTAAATTTTTAATACTCTCTCACTTTTTGCCACACTTTGATGACAYCAATAACTTATAATTTTTGTAATAAAAATAGACTCAGAAAGGTATTTGAAAGATCAACACGGTCCGAAGAGCTTAGTTCTTTTTAAAATTCTTTATACTCTTTGATTGGTGCAGTTATTCCAACATACTTGTAGATGTAGTCGCAAGGCAAAAATAAACTAAAAAGAAAGAACGATGATCTATAGCCCAAGCCAGTCAGAAGAGAATGAAAGTTAATATTTTGCAGAAAACATTTTAGCATTCCAAACGCACAGTGACTATTCAAACTATTACTCTGAAACATAGTTGGTATTTAAGAAAATTTGTTCAGGGTTTGAGCTGCCTCATCTTCATAGAAACAATCACAGCTGGCAGATTTCTAAAATTTCTTAAATTTCTTCAAATGTTAGTTTACTTGCGTACTTCAGAATAGATTGTCGAATTGTTGTTTAGTCGAAAAAGTATTTTCGTTGCATTCGTATATATCCAGTGCTACCAATCACATGTGTCATACTTTATAGTATTAGAAAAGTGTGATTTTAAACTTAATTTAACCAAAAAAAATTAAATTTAGGGAAGTTGAAAAAATTTGTGAAAATAATGAAGAATGCGCTATAATTTGAAATTTTTGTATACAAAAGGGAAGAATTCCACGCAAGCTACCAATGAAATTTTGAAATGAAGTCGACATATCGTTGAAAAAGTAGAGGAAATTATATTATGGAAAAGATTACCCAGTCACATAAGGATCCATGATATCGYTAAGGAACTTAAGATTCATCATTAAATGGTTATGAGCCATTTAAACAAAGGCTGGCTATAAAAATAAGCTCGATGTTTGGGTACCACATCAATTGTCTGTGCTTTTAATGGATCGAATTAACATCTGCGATTCTTTGCTGAAACGAAATGAAGTCGAACCATTTCTGAAGCGAATGTTGAGAGGAGACGAAAAGTGGATCAAATACGACAATAATGTGCGAAAAATATCATGATCCAAGCGTTTTGAAGCTCAAAAAACGGTCGCACAGCCAGGATTGGCACCACTAAATTTTATGCCGAGTGCTTGGAGGGATTGGAAAGGAATCATCCACTATGAGCTGCTTCAGCCTGGTCGAACGATTGATTCTACATTTTACTATCAACAACTGATGAGTTAGAAGCAAGCAATCGAAGAAACCGGCCAGAACTGTTCAACAGAAAAGGCTTCGTCTTCCATCAGGACAACGATAGACTACACGCATCCTTGACGACTCGGCAAAAACTGGGAAAGTTTGGCTGGGATCAATGCAGAACTCCTTTCATGGAGTAAACTTGGCTTTAACAAAAGATTGTGAAATTGTCACAGTTTTTCGCCGAAAAACCACAAAAGTTTTACACTGATGAAATTATGTCTCTAGTGGAAAAGTTGAAGTTTGATTAAAAATGCGAATGGACTTTTTCGATTACCCTATATGTTATATTGCTTTTTTAGTTCTTGCTCTTAGTAATCAAGGCATATTTATGTCCAATATGTATTAAATCGAGTCCGAGCGTATAATGGACGGCATAACGACGCTCGGAAACTTACCATATCTAAGCAGAGATCGAATTCAAGTCCCATGTAGAGGTAGTACTCCCTGTGGCTTTTTAATTCTAACAGTTCACTTGAAAGTCTCCGGCCTAGCATAGTAAAACATATTTGTTGGCAAAATTCGTTTTTTTTTTTATACAACATAGTTCCCTTCAAGGGTGATACACTGATTATAGCGACCCTTCAACTCGTCGATATCATTTTTGTAGTGCTATTTATTCATCAAAATAGGCCTCAGTTAGGTAGTGAACCGGTGAAAAAGCACTTTCGGTTTTCTGCAAATGCGAAATTTTTTTGGCGATTTCGYCATTCCAGCGGTCCACTAACGCTATGTTATAGTCGGTGTTGATGGTCCTTCCTTTTTCAAACTAATCGCCATAATCTTGCCGGCCGACTATTGCATTTGACACCTTTTGATCGGATTCAAGTGCAGTCCACTCAGATGACTGTCTATTGGAYTTCGTAATGAARTGATGGAGCAATGTTTCGTCCATAGTCACATGGCGACGATAAAACTCGGTTTTATTTCGCTTGAACATCACCAAGCACTRCTTTGAATCATCTATTAGAGTGCCTGCTATCTYGAMCAACTCCGAATTACGATCACCCAAAATTATTTTGTGRATTTTTTTGATGTTTCCTTCCGTAACAACCTCTTTTAGGCRTCCACTGCCGTCACYGTCTTCCGYGCTCATCTAAACTTAGCATTACTAATYSTYGATGGTTGATTTTCYTGGGGCAGCGTCCGGAAACTCGCCAAGTTTTTGTTTTAACAGTATGTTTTTCCCTTCAAACAACAATATTCACTTCACTCAAAACCTCTGATATACAATATATGGTATATTGATTATTTTTATCCTTTTTTAATTACATCATTATCATATTTCCATTTGTAATGGTATATTTGTAAACAGGTGTTTACTATGACCARCATAACTTTGTCTTTTCTTTTACATTCGATAACCACCATAATGATATCATATTACCTTCTATTTACTGCAGTTTCTATAAATTCATATTGCGGCTTACACCCACGTACAATRTTGCGTTCTTCTCTCTCTTCCTCTCTCTTCATTTCGTCCTTTCTGTCACTAATCGAAACTCCTCCCACTGAATATAACTTCACGCTCTTGTTCGGATTCCCCACAGCTTCGCAGCCAAAGGAAGCACTGATGGGCGAAGTAGAAGGAGTAAACAAACATGGCCGCCACATGCTGTGAATGAAGTTGAACTGTCACAAACAGGTAAGAAACAGTAACAGCAAAATCACTATATCTCATTTAGGGTAATTTTTAACTCGAAAGTACATGCAGGTAAATAGGTGGCCAGTTTTAGTGAGCACGTGACTATCCAACTTCGTACCATTTATGCGTATACTATAAATTAAGTTATAGTTAATAAATCTACATATAATATACTGACGTTTCGGTCGGAATATTTGATTCGATCTAACCAAAATGAATGGACCCGATCACTTATAGTATCTGAAGAGACAGCATAAGTGACGTACACTGAACGATCTTGAGTTGCAAGACAGGCCTGTTCACGTAACCGAAGCGGCCAGTCTTAAATAAGTTCCAGGGCTGTCAAATTTCAACTCGGTAATGTTCCCAAAAACTAGTTGGAAAGTTATAATTTCAATTTAACAACTACAACGATAATGTTCTTTTAAGAACCAGCAAAGTCGACAGAGGAACATTCCAATCTCATCGGCACGCATTATTCTCTAAAGCGAAATCTCGGTTTGAAGACTCGTCATTGTAACGGATGATCCAAGTAACTGTACTTTTTTCAATAGCCTTTTTTTTACATATTACGCGTGAGTCGTGTCAAGTCGGAACGCGCTTCGCTCTATGGTCTATTGAAAAGAAGATCTGACATTTTCGAGCCAAATTTTGTTCAGCAAGGACATGAGGCCCATTTCTAGTTCAATGAGTATGTAAACAAGAAAATTGYCGCATTTGGGACGAAGAGCAAGCGGAAGAAATTCAGAAGCTTCTACTTCATCCAGAAAAAATGGTTTGGCGCGGTTTATCAGCCTGCTTAACAATCGKTTCACATTTATTCAAAAATAATGCCGGTGAGAACGTAACCATTAATGGCGACTGAAGCTGGTGATCTGGGCGAYATTTGGTTTCAASAAGTCAGCGCCACTTCCACATCAATTAATGGATTTATTGAAAGAACACTTCGGTGATCAATAATTTCACTTTCTGGGYGATTGGCTACCACGATCGTGTGAAATTCATAGATCTTTTCTGTGGGAATATGTACAGTCTAAAGTCTATGCAGACAATCCCGCTTCGATTSAGGTCTTGGAGCCAAAAATTACGCGTGGCAGTCGCCAGTTATCAGTCGAAATGCTCGAAAGRGTCATCTAAAATTGRCCTCAACGGATGSACCATCTGAGGSGTAGCCACGGCCAAAATTCGAAAGAGATAATCTTCAAAAATAAATGCTACAGAATATTCTTTCGATTGATAAAAAAAAAACATTCCACATCAAATGCTTAAGTTTCTGTGTTTTCTCTTTACTAAAGTAGAGACCCTCGAAATTTATCACCCTTTATTTTGATTTATTTATTTTTTCATCAYAAATTGCTCAGCTATTTTCTATGAGGGTAGTAGAAAACCATGCTAAACAAGAGCACCCAGTATCCAGCTTTAGCTCCGCCTCTTTTTTGTGTGAAAAGAATWTGCAATACCTACATCCTGGCATTTACAGTTAAGGGTTGCTCTGTCACTATCCCTTTAAAGAGATGAGTGCTTTCAAATGCTGARATTTGTATTTGATTTCGATGCTTGGAATTCCACAATGTCAARTTGCCGCACTTCAGTTGGACCAATTGGTGTATAAAAGGATATGTGCTGGCAGGATACGAATTAATTGTGAAAATTTTCATTGAAGTGCGGTTGTACGGTGTGCTGCTGTGCTGACAAGAACTTAATTTGATTAGAGAAATTTGTTTGTGATTTAAAGTTTATGTGCAAAGCTAAGAATATAAATTTATTATAAGCAAAAATAATAATTTGTTATAAACAAATTGAAATTAATAACAATTAAGCAATAAAAGTTAAAAAAATGTCACGAAATCAATTACCCGATTCTTCATCCTCGCCGCCAATAAGGTTAATATTTGCATAAGTTCTTTGTAAAAAAATATTTTAATATATAGTTTGTGAAGGTTATTGTGGGAAAAAATATTTAAATGATCAAGGACAAGAACAACTAAATATTTATATAAAAAAAACTAAATAAAATTTTTGTTCGGTCGAAGTCAAGTAATTGCTCTATCGGGATTATTGAATAATCACAATAAAATCATAAATTGCAAATCTTCATAWTAATATTTATAGTGTAAGCAGAATATATCCAAAAGTTATCCAAACAAATAACAAGAAATGCTATGATCCTATTCTTCTTCTTCACTGGCATAGGCACCGCTACCGGCTATAACCGCGCCAAGTTAGTAACAGCAGGAATTGTGCTTTCTCGATACAAATCTACAACTCGAATTATTCTCTCCAGCAGTAAATTGAAGAAGTCGCACGATAGGGAGTTGCCTCGTCTGGTATCGAAATGGCTCGGAGAGGTCCTTACAGATTCTGACGGAATTGTTTGTGATGTCAAAAGAAGCTTTGAAATAGACGAATTCACGGGTCTTTTTTCAGACTAGGCGCWTGGTGAATATCCTGTCAGTTCTTGATTATTCACTGATAAAGCTCGATAGAACCTTATATGCGATGCTGAAGAGACTTATTTCACGGTAGTTGGCGCAGTTTGTGGGGKCTCCCTTTTTCTAGATTGGGYAGAYCACACWTAAATTCCAATMGTTTGGCATGCTTTCGTCAGACTCTATTCCACAAAGAAGCTTCTTATCATTTCTTCGCCGCCGTATTTGAAAAGTTGGCCAGAAATCTATCTGCCCCCGCCACTTTGTTGTTCTCCGGACGATCATTTGCTATTCGAACTCTTTAAAACAGGTAGACTGTTATCATACACGACATTGTTCATCAACTCAGGCTACATTGCCAATGTGACCGGGAAAGGAGAGCCATGAGGAATTACACAAAGTTCTATTTTCTCAATAGAGAAGAATTGTATAATGGTTCTGTGATCGACTGTACCTACGACGAGATGTACATATTCACCGAGGGTGAAATAGGAATAGAAGTGGGCTTCTTCTGTAGTAATCCATACTTCAAACGAGAAAGCTTCAAACGAGATGAATATAATGCAATATTTCATGTCGAAGGTTTTGAAACGCTATCAACACGGAGCATGCCACAAAGTTACTTTGGACTAGTGTTGATGATGAAGAGACCAATAACCTTCTACTTCTAGGCAGAAGAAAACTTAGTAATATTGTAGGGGTCATGAGCTACCCTTAAAATCGCACAGATCGTATTCAGAATAGATCTTTGTGATTTCGTACCTACGAATTCAATGTTCTCATTTCGTATGRGATWKCTGGAATATTTCACGATGTTTAAGTGTCTTGTCTTGGATTAAAGAAGACAAAACGTTATTGACCTAAAAACCAGTGACATACCTCCTAGGTTATATTTTGGATTTATTGATTGATTGAAATCGCTTGTTACTTTAAATTAGTTGCTTGTTCTGTTTATGGTTTCTATKATTTATTATCATCTCTGTAAACCTGTTGAAAATATCTCTGATATTTGACGATTACAAAATTGACTTATGATTTTGCACTTTTTTCCAATACCTTGGTAATCGTAGACTAAATTTTTAGGGCTACAAATATTTGGAAGATATTCAACCGCAATAAATGATATAATATCATTTTTATTTAGGCCGCTTTATTAGGAAATATTCGTTATAACATATCGTCGTATATATATTTAACATAATCAACTACACATCTTAACGCTCTCTTCAACGCCCATTACAGCCACCTGTCGTTTCATAATTTCGACGATGACATGATCAACGATTTGCCGTCGTGCGTYTATGCAGGCGCAGCGCATCACGTAACCGCCGCAGCGGGTGGCCTTGGCGGTGGTGGCAGTAACCTGCGTATGAGCACGAGTAGTCTGCGTCAAATGCAACAACAATACTTACAACATACGGGTACGATTGATTGACTAATATTACATGTGACTTTTTGTCATTCGATGTACATTCCATTTATAGAGAACCTACTGGATTCTTCAACAGGCATGTCGCTGGTCACGGCGAGCTCATCCACGGGCTGTGGCGCTGGTGGCGGYGGTGGTAGTTCATCCATGCACTGCAATAGTCCGAATGCGASCAGCAGCAGTGTGGGKTATGGCAATRCCGGSWCKGTGAATGCAGCGGCTGCCGCGGCTGCTGCAGCGGGCTCGACTCCTTACAAGCTGCAGCGGCAACAGGCGAACGTGCGCGAGAGGAAACGCATCCAGAGGTCGGCACCAACTGGGTACACTAAATGGTCTATTTTCTTTTTTTMCCCCAAAAATTCAATCAAGTTAGACAGTAGTGCAGATACACTTACATTTACATTTACATTACATTTTACATTTACATAACATACCTACAGCACGCATTAGTAGATTAACCTCCAAAAAAATATATACTTTTTTGCACACATTAGGTTTTGGTTGAACTATTTAGTGTTATTTCTATATGACCGCTTTTTCTCACCTTTTACTAAATTTCAAACCTTCTTCTTCTGATTTCATCYTCGAAATATCGCTTTTGTGGCTGCTCTCCATTCCATTCGTTGCTTGACTTCTGCAGTAGCATTAATTCAGCCTTCGACGAGCTGCGTGTTCATGTTCCCACCTTTCCCTACGAGAAGCGTTTAAGCAAAATCGATACTCTACGCTTGGCCATCGCCTATATTTCATTGCTGCGTGAGGTACTTCAGACCGACTACGATCCACTCACCTATGTAGAGAAATGTTTGCGTGGCGAGATTAAGGCAGATCGTGCCAACTGGAACACAAGTGGTGAGTTTTAAAAGTTATTATTTTATGAGATTTTTTTTTTTTTTTCACAGAAGAGAGTTTGGGCTTCGGTCTATAAGTTTCTGTTATAGTGCTATGACAGGCTTCGTGAAACTACATTTTTAATTTTTATCGTTAAATCTTCTATAGCTCTAAAGCTGCTTCACGGGTTCAGAGCTCTATTGGAGATATACTTAAGGAGCCAAACACTCTCCGGTTAAGTAAAACTAAAATAACAAATTAAAGTCAGGACGTCTGAGGCTGGAGTTCATAGAGAGCTCCTACCCACAACTCTCTCGTCGGTATATGAGTATAGAAGGAGCCGTCAGTGTTTGGTATGACGACTCCATGTTCCAACTGATGCGGTATGAAGTTAAAGATTCTATGGGTCTGATTGCAACTTTCGCAGTCATACACCTTCCGACGGCTTTAGTATGGTGTCATAGGGCCAGAGGACCACTTTCGGTGAGAGACCCCGCTCTTCTTCAGCGGTATAAGGCAATCGATGCCTTATTTGTTCTCTTTTCAATATTCGACTTTCATGTAAGCTTCCTATCCAGGGTGAACACAAGATATCTCACTGTATCTGCCGGTTGCAAACGGATGTCTTTCATATGCGGCAGCGGTGTCACTGAGATCTTATATCTTCAAGTAAATAAAAACCATTTCGGTTTTAGTTGGACTGATGGTGAGACCACTTCCGACTGGACGTTATTGAAATATCCCAACAGCCAGATTCTTAACCATAATAGCTTCCTCAAGCCATACACGAGAGAATACAGAGCAGTATCCACTGACTTGCTTTTACAATAAGCATGTTGCGCTCCTGACAGTTGGATTTATTAGTTCATAGTTTTAAAAACTCAAGGCAGAGCCATCAGTGAGCGTTCTTTTATATGACCTTCATGTAGGTACCTCATAACTCAGCGTATATAGAAGCAGCTAATTATTTGGTTATGATCGCCTTTTGGCCAGATAAAATTCGGGTCAATTTCAAGCCTCCTGCTTTGGGTATTGCATTTATTACCGACCGTAAGCTTATTTAGTGTTATATCTATACATTAAGCATTTAAAGAGTATATAATATTTGTAACCAGTATTACATTCGCTCTGTTCTCAATGTACACATTTCTYTTCACAGATCTGACAGCACGGCTTTCTTGGATCAACTGGGAAAATCTGGGCGTACATCCAGGCCGCCGAACTCTACTTACCACACTGGCATTATCCTCGGAGCCAATGTGCGGTGCACATTGTGGYCCATAAATATACGACTTCGAACACTAGTTTCTAGGAGTCTTGAGGCATATCTTTTAATTTTGTTGTGATACTAATTTAGTGCAACTGTCTTCCTTTTTCTGAATTAATTTAAGCTTAAATTAAGCAAAAATATAACTATTTAGTATTATTTGTAAAAAGTATTTATTCACGTGCCAAAGCAAATAAAAAATACTTGAACTGAGTAAACTATTTATGATAGCAGTTCTACCGTGATTAACTAGTTTGTTTGATATAGAGTTTGAATAGACCTGGGAGTTTTCGATCGTATAAAATGTTTTTGGAGTTCGTCGAAAATTGTGGTATCATATTTGGAACAATTTAAAATATAAACCTAGAGAGTTCGGAAAGTCTAGGTATAACACAGAAGATTACATCAACTGGGTCACTTCAGCTARCATAGCACAAGCTGTCTGGGCAATTGTGCTAACTACGAATTGGACGATGGAATGCAGACTGGCTGTTAACATTACAGTGTTCAAATTCCGACTATCAATAATCCTGTGCACCTTCACTCTTTATAGAACTACGAAAACTGCCGAAGTACAGAGCTGCAACAAAATCTTCAAGTCGCTAACAGGCAGTTCCTGGAGAACAGGCATAGAAGTGTTGTTGTCAACATACAAGGTAATCGGTCAGCGGGCCCCAAGCTACGCCGCACCGATATGATGGCCTAGATGTAGTGAAACGCAAACGAAAATCAAATTCAGATTCAGATGTGTCAGCGTCGGATAAGTGATCCCCCCATTTGATGACATTCTCTGCAAACATGTTACGGATTATGATTTAAGGGTATACACCTGGAATGTTCGGTTCATTCCTTTAATTGGGAAGGTGCCGCTGCCCAGTTGGGTATCCTCTTCAGAGTAAAGGCTGACATCACCGCCGTCCAATAAATGCGATAGATGGTGAAAGGACTGAGGCGAGTGGGTCCTTGTGGCATTTACTACAGCCATATAAAAGAGTGCAAATTTGGTGTGTGTGAAGAGATTTTCGTGGTGGAAGAGAGACTCCGCCGCCGCATCAAAGCGATGCTCTTTAACATATCGCCCACGCCCCAAAAGGAAGAGAAGGACGATGTGACCAAACATGAATTTTATGAGCCTTGGAGAGCACTTATGAGAGCTGCCCTCGCCACGATGTCAAAATCGTGCTTGGTGACTTTAACGCCAGGATGGGCAAAGAAGGTATCTTTGGCACTACGGTCGGTATATTCAGCCTCAACGGTCAAACATCTCCAAATTGTTTGAGGCTGATCGACTTCGCTGGGCCCGAAATATGGTTATCTGTAGTACTAGAATCCAGCAAAAGAAAATGAAAAGTTGAAGAGGGAAACGAGGCGYATATGCAGACAAAATGAGAGGGATTCCCAAATTGGACTCAACGAATGAATTATTTAAGAGGTCTTTAACTTCTCATTAAGTAAGAAACCTTGAAAACGATCATCTTTTTTTTTCTTCGAACAAAATTTATTTGCTTAAACAAACGAAGAAACCTCTGTGATTTTTAATTGATTTTTTTTTAGTTGGAAAAGAAACATTTCTGAAATTTGCGATTTCAAAAATGTTCTTTCAAGCATCAGGCAATTCTCAAGATTAAATAAATTACAATAAAAATAATTTAAATAACCGGTTTCTTGATTTTGTCCAAGCATTTCTGTGTTTTAAAAAATAACTAAAAATTTGTTTTTTTACTTCTTCCAAATATTAGTGTATTTTATTCACTTCAACTTGTATGTATAGTATTCATATATGTATTTAACAAAACAATTGTGTAAGTGTGTGTATTAAAACCTGTTTTCGTTTGGATTTGTTCGTTGATAATTGAGTATGTATGCGTCTTCTGTGTGTAAAATGTTCTATCAAAACTATTGCATGTATTATCTTTCAGTGTATGTGTAAGGAAGCGCTGCTAAACACACTAATTTTTTAAACACACATTTACACATTTATTGCTMTTATTTTTATTGTTGTTTTTTAATATAATTTTGATCGCTTGTTGTTTTTGCTCGAACTTTGCTCTTTGATCTAACATAAATTTGGCTTTCTTATGACAAATGTTACTACTTGTACTGTACTATAGTGAATACGAGCGTACAATGAAAATCCTTTCTTTTATCAAATATTTTTTAAAATTTGTATACATTTTGATTTTATAAAATCAAAAAATTTTAAAAATATCTAAGCATAATTTGTTTGCGAAAATTACATTATTAAATAAGTAACAAA